TTTTGCTATCGATATCGATTTTGTTATTGATATTTTTTATCGATGTTATCGATATTTTTATGGATTTCGTTATCGATTTTATTATCAACTTTGTTATCGATTTTGTTAACGAAATTTTTATTGATTTTTTTATCGATTTTGTTACCGATTTTGCTATCGATTTGATTATCGAAATCTATATAGATTTTGTTGTCGATATTTTAATCGATTTTGTCATCGATATTTTTATAGGTTTTGTTATCGATATTTTTATTAATTGTGCTAACGATATTGCTATAAATATATTCGGAACTTATCGATACAATGATCGATATTTTGTATCGATTTTGTTATCGATTTTGTTATCGATTTTGTTATCGATATTATTATCGATTTTGTTATCGATATATTTATCGATTTTGTTGTCGAAACTTTTATCGATTTTGTCATCCATATTTTTTCGGTTTTGTTACTGATATTTTTATCGATTTTGCTATCGATATTGTTATCACTTTTGTTATCGATATTTTTATCGGTTTTATTATCGATATTTTTATCGATTTCGCTATCGATATTGTTATCGGTTTTGTTATTGATGTTTTTATCGATCTTGTTATCGATTTGTTATTGACTTTGTAATCGAATTTGTTAAGTGATTTTGTAATTGATTTTTTGATAGATTTTGTAATCGATTTTGTTATCCATTTTGTAATCGATTTAGTTATCGATTTTGTTTTCGATATTTTCATCTATTTTATTATCGATATTTTTATAGATTTTGTGATCGATTTTGCTATCGATATTATTATTGATTTTGATATCGATATTTTCATCGATTTTTATCGATGTTTTTATCGAATTTGCTATCGATATTACTATCGCTTTTGTTATCGATATTTTTTCTTAGTGTGTGCTTTCGTTTTTGACTTGGATATGCTCTTACCCATACCACGTATTCTACGTTTAAATTTAGCGGCTGTATCTCCGATACAGCCTGCAGGCCAAGATGAAGGCGCTGGACTGTTCCTTTTTTTAAGTGTGGAAAATCATATGCCAATAAATATAAAACTCCGATTTGTTTAAATCATCTACTTATGTATCTATTCGTAATTTGCTTTGGCCAGAAAAACAGGCATTGGGACCATAGTGCATAGTGTTGTTTCATCAGACAAAATATTTTTGTTTTGATTGATTCAGTGTTGATGTTTCTTTCATCTTATTTAGTAAAAAATCTAATTACCCAGAATATCGTACTCGCGTTTTTTGCCCATAAAAATATTCGAACACGATCGGTATAGATACATTTTCCGACGTTCACTAAATATCACTCATATATATATATTAGACTGCATCACTCCCCATACAAAAAAAATCGCTACTATTTTTCCATTGGAATTATAAAATCTATTATATTTTAAGACGTCCACCAAAATATTTCGGAAAAATATTAAGATTTAAGTAAGCTGGACCGATTTGAAAATACCTCCAAAAATGGAGTTTCTTATGAATAAAAGTAGTTTCTTAAAGAATTTTTTTTGAAAAAATCCCCTTAAATGACAAAATGGCTTAAGCTTAAAAAATTTGCAGAAAAATATTTAAAAAAATTTTTTTTAAATTTTGTACGGAATCGTAATGATGAGATTTTTGATGCTGTTTTTTAACTTTTTTTAAAGATTGGTATAACAAAAACTTGAATAACGGAACCTAAACTCCTCCGATTTAGANTTGACGACTTGCAGCAGTATAAAAATCTTGACCTGCAATATATTTTGAATTTTTAAAAGCAGGNATTTCGGAAAAATATTAAGATTTAAGTAAGCTGGACCGATTTGAAAATACCTCCAAAAATGGAGTTTCTTATGAATAAAAGTAGTTTCTTAAAGAATTTTTTTTGAAAAAATCCCCTTAAATGACAAAATGGCTTAAGCTTAAAAAATTTGCAGAAAAATATTTAAAAAAATTTTTTTTNTTCAGCTTACAACTTTCAGGGGCATTTTGACGACTTGCAGCAGTATAAAAATCTTGACCTGCAATATATTTTGAATTTTTAAAAGCAGGAGGTTTCGTAGTCCATAACAATGCAGTTGTATTTTTTAATTTAGAATTCATCGGTCTGGCANCCTCCGATTTAGACTTAGGAGGTGTCATTAGAAAGGTATTTTCTCTACCTTATTATTTATTTGCTAATAAACTCATTCAAAGGATGAAAGAGAAAGAATGAAGGAACGTCATTCAGAGTTGAATTAAGATGTGTTGGTAGTTGAAAAAAAGNACTTTCAGGGGCATTTTGACGACTTGCAGCAGTATAAAAATCTTGACCTGCAATATATTTTGAATTTTTAAAAGCAGGAGGTTTCGTAGTCCATAACAATGCAGTTGTATTTTTTAATTTAGAATTCATCGGTCTGGCACTGTTTGAGCTGTAGAACATCTCAATGAAGCTTTCCGATTTACCTTTTGTACGAAAAACTGGGATCTCCGTGCGGATTTTGCAACATAACGCGACAAAACCTCNATCTTAATATTTTTCCGAAATATTTTGGTGGACGTCTTAAAATATAATAAATTTTGTAATTCCGGCGGAAAAACCGCAACTTTTTTTGGTGATGCAGTCTAATTTATATAATATATATGAAGGGTGAACACACCAAAACTGCGACACTTAGAGATTACTACCAGAAACAAACTGGAAGGCTTTGAAATTATATTTTTTTTTGTATTATATAACTTGGAAGTTTAGGTGTTATTAAAAAGTTAAAATATTAGTTATTATTTGCTCCATATGAAAGTGATCGGTATTTTCATCGCACACGCGCCATCATGTTCTGCACGACTGCATCATCGACTTTACGCGATGCGCACAACTACTTTGTTTTGCACTCTTCAATATTTTTCACTGTTTCACCTGTTTTCTTCAAGATTCCTTTGACAATTGACCAATATTTCCCAATAGGATGTAGCTCTGGGCTATTGGTTGGATTGCAGTCGTGAGGTACAAAATTGATGTTATTTGCATTATACCACGGCAATGTGTCCTTGGCATAGTGGCAGCTTGCCATTTCCGCCTAGAACAGTGGCCTACTACCTTATCTGTTGATAAATGACAGAAGACGCCTTTTGAGGCCTACTCATCCCGATAAACTTGATCATTCATTGTCCCGGATGGGAAAAAAGGGCTACTCTTACGGCCACAGGAACAAATAGCTTGCCAAACCATGTTGTTTTTTTGCAAATTTGGACTTAATTTTCAGCTTACAACTTTCAGGGGCATTTTGACGACTTGCAGCAGTATAAAAATCTTGACCTGCAATATATTTTGAATTTTTAAAAGCAGGAGGTTTCGTAGTCCATAACAATGCAGTTGTATTTTTTAATTTAGAATTCATCGGTCTGGCACTGTTTGAGCTGTAGAACATCTCAATGAAGCTTTCCGATTTACCTTTTGTACGAAAAACTGGGATCTCCGTGCGGATTTTGCAACATAACGCGACAAAACCTCCGGATCTCGCGAAAACGCACTGAGGACCTTCCGAGCACTGTTTTTATCACTTTGACCATGCTAACCCCCGCTCCCTGTTTTTTTCGTAACTGCCAGGCCTTATTTGTACCGATTAAAATCCTGCAAACTGTCGAATAGTGCAATCCTTAATTTTAGCAATTTTACGTGTACTTAAGGCCAGATCATTTATAAACTCGTGCAAAATGGTTTGTCTCGTTTCTAACTCGGTTGCCATTTTTAACTCAACTAGGAATCAGATTCAAATGAAATTTCTTCTACGTCCAACTAAGGTCATGGTCAGCTTATGGTATTTGAATTTCAAAATATTGAAATCTTTTTGGGTAAGTTATAAGCTTCCCAAAGTGTCGCAGTTTTGGTGTGTTCACCCTTTATATATATAATATCACTCATATTTATATATATATATTTTTTTTTTGGTATTGTCATTGGCTGGCATAAAAACTTTGAAGCAAAGAAGCCTACATAATTATAAATTTTCTTTTCAGTTTTTGACCTGATATGGGGGAAAACATATTATGGCAGCATTTTGTTCAAACTCCACCACGTTTTTGCTATGGCTACTGGTAACTAATGTGTAAAAGATTTTTTTTACCGCGGTTTTTTGTTGTTTCAGCCCTCTTTCTTAGTCACAAGTTTTCTTAAAATTTTTATCTCATGTCATACTTATGATAGAGAATCGAGAATTGCTGACCTAGTATTAGAACCTTTTCCGTGCTTTTTGTGGGAAACTATAATTATTTGCTAATTTTTTTTTTGTTATTGCATTTTTTAAACAATGTACCATGTTGTTTTTTTTTCGCAAATAGCTTTTTCGACAGCTTATTTTCTAACGGCTTTCAACGGCTTTCCATTGATATATAATTTGTATGTAATCTTCGTCTATTCTAATTTCGTAAAATTTTACATTAGAATGCATTTAAAAATGTAGCTGGTCGGACAATTTTTTCATTTATGTGAACTTGTGTTATTGCCGACAAAAATGCAAGGCGGACCCGAGTGCGTTCTATGATGAAAAACTTGTAGTCCTTTTGCCATGCCCAATACAAATTATATATCGTTGGAAAGCCTAGAAAATAAGTTGTCGAAATAAGCTGTTTGCGAAAAAAACAAAAATGGTACATTGTTTAAAAAATGCAATAACAGTTTTTATTGCAAATTTTCAGCAATTTTCGAATCTCATAAAAGTGACATGAGATAAGTATTTTAAGAAAACTTGTGACTCTAAGAAAAAATGCTGAAATTTGTTTGTTCAAACTCTAATAACTCGACAAAAAACAGCGGTAGAAAAAAACTTTTTTACATATTGGTTACGAGTAACCAAAGCAACAACATTGTGGAGTTTGCACAAAATTCTGCTATAAAATGTTTTTCCTGGTACACTTGACGAATTCCGCCCCATATACAATATTTTTTGCAGAATTTTGTGCGATAACTAAATTTCCTTTTAATTCTGTGAATAAATTTTCAAATCAGTAAGTCCAAAAAAAAAATTGTACCTTACCTGAACTTTGGTCATTGGAATAAATAACACGTACTCGTACTTTTGTGGCAAGAAGGTTTTGAGGAGCTCAGCTTCCTTCCTCTGTTATATACAGGATTGAAAGAAAAAACAGATAACAAAAAAACAGAAGTATTTTAACTGTATTGAGAGCATGTACAGTTGTCCGCAAAATAATAGGAGTGCGATATTTTGACCAGTTTTATTTGTCTTTTGTTTATTTAATGTTTATTTTATTTTTTTTCTCTAAAAATCTAGCTGGCTATACAACAAACCCCTTATAAATTCAGTTTTCACACTTTGTACAAAATTTATACAAATTTCGCAAATTTTCAACCAAATTCCAAACTTTTTTGTCAGAATCTTTACAAAAAATTGTGGTATGCAGTTTTGTATCCCATTTTATTCTATTATAATAAAGTGCAAGTTTGAAGCTGCTAAAAAATCTCGTTGATTTTAGAGAACTTTTTTGGTTGAAGGTGTTTTACCTTTTTGTCCATACAAAGCATGTTCGAAAATTTTCTTTTATATGGAGGACACTGCCAGCAAAAAAAAAATGCTTAAAATTAAGGGAATTTTTTAGAAGCGTGAAACTTGATCTTCATTCGACTAGAATTAAATGGGCTACAAAACTGCATACCATAATTTTTTCCCATTAAAAAGTTTGAAATGTGGGTGACAATTTGCGAAATTTTTATAATTCTTATACAAAGTTTAAAATCTGAATTTATATGGTGTCTGTTGTATATCCAGCTAGACTTTTATAACTAAATAATAAACATTAAATAAACAAAAAGCAAATAGCTAAAGCTGGTCAAAATATCGCACTCCTATTATTTTGTGGACAACTATATATGTTTTTTAGAAATTGTTGCCTTACCTGTACGAATTTAGAAAGTTTCTTGTGCAAAACGAACGATCTTTGCTTCATTACTTGTATATCTCTTTTACTTGAATCCTTATGTTGCCCATTTTTAATAGGATTTGCATACAGGTTTGCAAATTCTTTTTCAGTTCCCAAAAAGAGCGGTTTTATAAAGTTCACCATGCTATAGTCTACAAAGGTAAAGATTGTGGTAGTTATATTAAGTAGTATACTTGTGAAATTTTTAAATATGTAAAAGGGTTTAGGAAACAAAATATTTCTATCGCATTTTCATAAAACAAACTACAAAATTTATAAAGTTGGACGCTGGATTAAAAAACAGTAAGTTTCCATCGTTAAATGTTACAATTTTATTAACCTTCTATTAAAGGGGCATCTTAAGTTGTTAGTTAATCGTTAAAATAACCTTTAGAAACCCAATAAAATATTGATATAGCCTTACCCAGCGCCGGCGAACCTTTATACCTGCACGTGCCATTATTTTCAAAGAAATATTCAATGTAGCCATGACGTGCCAGCAAAAAAATCATGACTCATCAACGATCTTGGAGACATTAATTGACACATAAATCGTACACTAATTTAAAAAAAAAAAAACAAATTAAGCGTATCCTAAGTGTATCTGTGTACCTAACGTGGTAAGCGGTTAGGACTCACATTGAAAGGTAGACGAAAATATTGTCAAGATAGCCAACCCCAGCTTCATCAGACAGCTAATATCGAGCCCTTACCGCCAAAATAACGTAAGCGACATTTTTTTCAAAAATTTCTGTTTGATGCAGAAATATTCATAGAGCATCTAGATCATTTCTGCATCAAAAAGAAAATTTTGAAAAAAATGCCGCTTACGTTATTTTGGCGGTTAGGGCTCGATATGTCTGGAATGGAATTTCTAAAATTTTAGTATTAGCATTTTTGGTCCAATTGGCTGCTTGTCTTTCTTATTTGAATGATTCTAACCCTTTCCTTGTTTCCACAAAGTTTTTATTCCGTATTGAATTACACTGGAACACAATCAGCTGCATTTCAAAATCTTCGATTTCCAACCAAACAAATTTAGACAAGTTCGGTTTATCATGTGACTTTACATCGGGATACATAATGGATTTGAGTGTTTCCGATAACTCCTTTAATTCAGAAAACCTCAATGAAAATTCTTCGATGACAGAATTTATTACCAAAGAAAACTTTTCGGTGCCTCTTGCTCCGTATGGTTTTTATGTACGTAAGTCCAAATCGGATTTTAAATTTTTCATGTTTGGGAAACATTTCGTCGCCTGGGTAAAAGATTGTCATAAGCGTCAGTTCGACGATCTTTAGTTAAAGATGCAGCTTTATTTTTTTTTTTAAATAAGATCTTTCGATTGGTGTTATCAGTTTTTGGATATCTCCTTTACTTTCCGAGATAATGAGTAAAATTTTGTCGTATTTGCAAGTTCGCAAGCGACTCGGTACATTTTGGTACAGTTTGATGAAATCGATTACATACTTGTTAAAATATTGTCTTATGTGACAAATTGTATGGTACATACGACAAACTCACACCAATCCTATACAATGGATAGTCGTAAGTGCTACGACAACTTTCATTGACAAATTGTTTATTATTTTGTTGATTTTTATTCATTAATTTATATCTCAGGTGTATGAGAATAAATTTTTTGCGTACGAGCCAAAAACAATTTCAACAGTTTCAGCCTTTTGCTTACTTGCTGTGTGTGTGATTTGTAGTATGTCATAGAGCTGGCTAGCGTTTAACTTGAAAATATAACGTACGCCAAAATGATTTTATAAAAAAGTGGCTGTAAAAGCTACATATATGAGTTACTGAAAATTTAAGAGAAGGTTTTTATACTCTAAATAGTATGTACCAAGGTGTATTAAACAAGGTGTGATTGACAACTCAGGTAGGCTCTCTTTTAAGGTACTATTATGCCAAAAAATATAAACAATCGATTCAAAATTCATACAAAATTTTTTCAATTTGACTTTATAGAATGGTTCTTCTGAAACACACTTTGTTGAATACATTTTGGTATGTACAATCAAGAATTAAATTTTGGTAAAAAACGATTGTACAGCTTTTGAGATATTGTGACTGTGTTTAGGCCGGCGCCCTAAACAATTAAATTTACGGCCCGCCCTAATATTTCACTTTGTGTATAAGACACAACAGTTAGCTTATACTTGTAGAATCCACTAGCTATGTTAAAATTCCCTTGCGGGAAAAAACTGTTAAAAAAAAACCAAAAAAAAAACAAAAAAACATCGATTTCCCAAAATCTGCCGAAAAAACGACAATCTTTTACCCAGGCGACGATTTGCAATTTTTGGAAGCAATAACTTTACCAAAAACTTTTAAAAACGCGAATGAGATCTATCATAATTACAACAGTTTTATTAGCCCCTTGAAACTTCGGCTTCAAATTCAATTATTGGAAGTACATATCCGTAAAGCCACAAACTTTGCAAGCCACGTATAACCCTCAATCCTTCGTTTATTTAATTCCTGTGAAGATGTGAGTATACTCATATATGTTTGGGACTACGCCCATTATATTACAATGGAGGCTAAACCATGATCTTCACACAAAGCTTGTGTTGATAAATGATGTGCTGGAACTAAATAATCGAATGACTTTTGTGAATTTTGTTGATTACTGTCTGTATTTTTTGACACTTCTGAGCTATATTGTCGGGCATGAATAGGACTTGGTTTGGTATCCAATTTAGACGAAAAAAAAAATGTTTCGATTAGGTAGTAACCACTACTAGTAATTGAGGAATTGGGTCAGGGCTGCTCAAAATTTTTATATCCCTGCAAAAAATTGTGCGACTAATCTCTAAAGAGAGTATTCCGAGATTACTCTCCATCGGGTACAATTGGGCATTAATAAGTCGGAACTAGTCTCATACGGGTACTAATGGGGATCAATTAGTCTCGACTCATCCCTTACGGGTACTATTAACGATTTAATGATATGTACGCACTTAGTCAATGAATCGTAGCTGGCCCAAATTTTTATTTCAATTTTTTTAAAGTGACTAGTCGCTTTTTGTACCCGTTCGGGTATAAATGGAAACAATTAGTCTCTTCATAGGACATGCTCGAACAAAAGCGAACAGTTCATTCCATATAAAGAGATCAAAAGTGGTATTAGTCGCATGTGCCTGTGCGATTGCTCCCGGAGTCATCCCGGATTAGTCGCATTTTTTGCGGGGATTGAAGTGAAATCACAATACATTTACAAAATTTATGTGTACACTGAGATTTTTTTTCTTTTTGTTATTTAAAACAAGCTTATTTTTAGTGTACGATTAGCGAATTAAAATTGTTAACAATGGGTGTATTTCCATATACATATGTATGTGGAATGATATAGTGCGTTAAGAAACGATAACGACCTAGTGGCTGAAAAATTCCAAAATTTAGTGTGGGAAACATCATATTGCAAGCTTAAATTTTGCATTTTCCTTGAGACACTCCTAGCTTATAAAAGTCCCACTTAAAAGCGTTAGTAAATGATAGCACCATTGAAGCAATATGCAATAAAATTTAGTGAGGGCACCTTAAATCAAGTGTGAACAGGAGATTGGAGTTTCTCCAACCTTAATTTATAGTTTCATTTTATTTTTTTGCGCGCATTTTACGGAAATTTGTTGAAATTTTCCCTCAAGGTCGCAAAATTCATTTTTTTCTGCAATCCGACGTTATAAAAATGTATGCATTCTATCAACTTTACGCGATGTAATGCTCCCAGCGATTTACATTGAATACAGATTGGAAATCAATANGCTTTTTTTCTTCCCGTTTCTCTCGTGCTTCCATATTACAACCTTTTGTAAGGGAGCTGTCGACATGAGCTGTCACTACGTACAACACCTTGTATAATTCCACCATGATCAATAAATTTCTATGTCGCCTTTGAAATTTTCCAAAATTTTTGGTGGCAATTCGTTTAATAATTACAAAGCACAACATATACACTACACTTTGCACTCAAAATTTTTGCAAAAAAGAACTCGCGCTTCCACAATTTAATGAACGCCATGTGTTTTTTTTCAATAAATTTCGTGTTCACTTTCAGTATATGTATATGAATATTAAACCAATTTATAACACACATTTTTTCAGTGCTGACATATATTTTATAATTTTTTTCATTCTATATTTGTTTGTGAAAATTTCTACATTTTACTGGAGTGCGTGAGCTTCGTATGGGAGCGCATTTGCTTTGCCCTGCAATATGAAACTCAGGTACTTTCATATGAATTGTGTTTATATGTCAGGGCATACGGGAGGGCGATAACGTTTTTTTTATATTTAATAATTATTAATTAATTTATATATGTGCCTATACTTCAGGGCAAAACAAAAACCAATGTGCTACAAGTGCTTATGGAGTGAGCAGCTCTGAATTAGGTCCTCTATAATACCGTGCCCAAGTTTTTTTTTGTGTGTGCCTTTGTTTCGCCGGTCCTACATTTTAGAAATTTCAAGTATGTAGCGTGATACAAAGATTTAAATGTAAAACCGGTCGTCGGCCAGTTTCTACTCAAACGCATGAAATGATTTCATGAATTCGCCTACGCACAATGGTAGGAAACGACAGAATGAATTACAATAAACACATAATTTTGACATAATGAAAGCCTTAAACGTTGCGACCGTGGGTGATCGATCCGCAATCAAGTTGGACATTTTGCCCACAAACATTGCAATTTTGCTAGTCTCATTGTAAAATCTCATTTTTACAATTTCATAGTTTCGACTTACATTTATAAAATTCAACGAACATGTTTCGTACATATTTCGGCTGGGTTACCCATTTTGGGTTATTTAGTGAACAAAATAAACGCAAAATAGAACGAGTTTGTACAACATGGCCATTAATGTAGCGACGAGTTGTACAACTTGCCAGAACATCAAATTTTTTGATCCACCAAGACATAAACGACAAACGGTGTAATTTAGAGCAAAACATCGCTAAGTTGAAACAACTTCCGCTACGTTTATGGCTTTCTTTGAGAAACACCGGGGCGAAAATTTCAACTGCTCCTGTAACACCATGATTCAATAATAAAAGGTTTGCTCAATAAACAGTTTTCTCACTCTCTATTGACAAAATCGGCTCCCTTAGCAAGGCACTGTGTGAGGGTTCGTGTGTGTGTGCAAAGCTTTTGTAAGGGATCTAAGGGAGTATCAAAACTCTAAAGCTGATGGCAGATAAAACTTTGTAGCTTTGCGTGACATTTATAACTTTCCCAGCAAAGCGCCAGACGCAGAAGGTATGCCACAATGAACGCCAAGAAAACAGTTTTGCACCGCTTTTTTACTAGTCAAAGTTGCTGGGGATTTTATATATTTTGCTTTAAAATTACCAGCAATGTAATTAAGTTTTATATTTCTGCATGGAAACTCGAATTTGGACGAAACAAAATAAATATTAAACCGGCTTATTGTCAAAGCGCGCAAAGAGATGGGAGTTGGCCATCTTTTCGCTTCGCGCTGCAGCTTCAACGATTTATGTGGCATGCTTTGTGCATTTTCATACAATTCATCTTATCTGTCAAAGCGAATCTGCCACGTAAAGCGAAGCAAAAGTTTTATGTGGCATCAGCTTAATGTCACTAATGAGCAAACCTTTAATTATTGAATCATGCTGTAATATATATGTATGTGAGTTGGCCTTGCTATCATTCTCACATATGTTCATCAGAGTATATCAACGAAAGACGAATTCATACAAGGTGATAGCGGGAGCACAAAAACTATAGAAAATTATACGCACAATGACAAACATGAACAAATGTACAACAAACAAATCATTTTTGACAATCAGCACAATTCGCTTTGATATCAACGAGCAGCTTTTCTAGCTCTAATTAGATTTGTTTTCGTTTGTACTACATATGTGCACAATCATACTAGGGATTTTTCACATTCCCGAATACGAATTTTCGGAATGCGAATGTTAGGAATAACGTTAAAAAAGCTATAATCCACTTAAATCGTTTTTATTTCTTTAAAATTTTTGTAAATTATTAGAATATTGAACGAGTTCTTAACCTATACCGTGTTATAATCTAGTAGTCAAAGTTGAAAATGGGCATATTTTACATCGTACAGTTTCATAAGTAAAAACACTATCAGCTGATTGCCAAAAACTCCTACAGCTGAGATCACCTGTTTTTTGGCACCTGTTTCTTTTCACCTGTTTCTTTTACAATTTCTTTAATTTCTATTACAATTTATTCAAAATACACTAACACACTGAAACAAAAACAGTAATACAATAACCAAAAACCACACCTACAGCCTGCCAGAAAAAAACGGTAAGAAGAAGAGTTGCGTTACTTATGGAACTGTACGATGATATTATATTCCAAAACAAGTAATTTTGCTGCCTTTTCTCCCATGAGGCAATTTCTTAGAGGTTCGTATATAAGGCCGGCTACACTGAACAATTGCTCACTTGGAACGCTGGCGGATGGAGCGCTCAAATATTTGCGGGCCAGATCTGTCCATTTGTCGTAAAAAAAAAAAAATAATAATTAGCAACAAGAGTTTACGGGGTGTACATAGCTCAGTAGTTAACGCTTCTGACTTTGCACATCGATTACGCAGGTTCGATCCCTGCTGAAGTCTAGAAAAGAAGTCTGATGAGGAGATGTGGTGATCTCCGAAATAGCTGCTATAACTTCTACCGCTTAGACTTTGTCGCTTTTTCAATTTTTCCTAATAAACAATCGTGGTACAAAGCTCAATAAAAACATTAAAAATAAAATGTTAATAAGCCACAATAACATTGACAAATACTTAGTTTATTTCGTTTTCAAACATATTTTTAAATAGTTAAATAAAGACTGTGAATTTGACAGACATACGCGATTACATATCTATTGAAAAAGTCACATTTACAGATGCAAATACATATCGTGTAAGAACACCTTTAGCAAACTTCAAAACTGTTCAGGCTGCCTATCAGCGGTTTTACCTTCAAATTTTTGTATCATGGTATGTAGTAAGCAAATTGTGGCCTGGGGGCCCATTCTCGTTCTATGAAATTGTGAAGGGAAATGGAAATTTAATTTGTTCAGTTTATCATTTTAAGCGATTCTCAATCATTAAAAGCTTTTCCATTACTATCTAGCAAGTACTTAACACAACAAACAATGACATTCTTTATCACAAGACGATGGTTTTGAGAAAAATGTTCAACTTTCCTTTTTCGCAGTTTTCACCTCGAAAACTTTTTGCCAAATTAATTTATTCTCATTTGAAAACGGAATCGCAGTTTTATGTAAAGTGATGAAAAATATTTTCACTTGACGTTTTCAGAGAATAAAAATTGCTCCCCTGGAAAACATTTTTTATTTTGAAATTTAACAAAAGTAACACAAAACTTTTAATGTTGATTTAAAAATTGCTCAGTTCATTTGTAAACATTAATAATTTTCTTAATTTTAGGATATGGGTGTTTCCATCGGAAGGTCTACCGCGAAAAATAAGTCATATATCTATCGTATTTATGGGCCCATTTGTCTGCTTTTTAAAATATATACTGATTAAGTAAGCAGAAAATTGTTTGCGAAAAATGATCTTGCTAGGTGACGCCAGGGTCGAGATATTTTGAAAACCCGTATTTCTGGTCCGATTTGGTTCGAATTTGGCGTATGTAGTTGAAACATAATAAACCATAGATTTCCAAAAAAATCATTTGCGTTAAAAATTCTCTTAAAATTAATATTAACAAAAATATTGCGATGAAGATTTACGTCACGCCACGCCATGTAACGTAACGTTTCACACTTGGGGTTGTAAAAGAATATTGAAACAAGTTGCATTAATTCGAGAAACTCTAAAAACAACTAGAATTGCTCCAAATCATATAAAAACAAGTTTCATGAAGAGAGCCATCCACAATTCACAGAGTTTGGCGATTTTGTAAGAAAACAAAAAATCAACTTCCATTTTTGTCACATAACGTCACTCTTTTTAATTGCGTATATTTAAGGATAATCGGTTAAATATGGAGCTAATTATATGATATACAAGGGTCCAAAGAAGTAAAAGAAAACAAGTGTTTTTCTTTGTTTTTATCGCATTAAAACGTACGACTGTCGCGTACATGGCGTATGGAAATAGCCATATCGCTTTGAAATTAGTGTTTAAACAATTTATTTTTGTAATGTAAACATTCCTAGTACATACATACTTACACTCTTTCAAATTATTCTGTATTGGTGTGCCCGTTAAAACGATACGCTTTTGGGTTTTTATTTGTGTAACCGCCAGGCTGATAGCTGATTTACTATTTTTAATAATATGACCTTCATCGCATACAACTAAGTCAGCACCTGGAATTATAAAAAATATTGTTTTGTGTTTGATTAAAGTATTATTTTCTTCAAGCAATACCATTTAACAAACCTGGACTAAGCAAATATTTGTCAACATCACTGCGTATGCTCTCCAACCGTGACGGTGCAATACTACGATTTTTGTACGAATGATAAAACACCAGTGTTCGAAAAGCTTCGTAACCTATCAACAATATTCCAGATGCATTTGCCGTGGACAATGACCAATCCTTGAGGATTTGTATTTTATCGTTGATGTCGCTACAGAAAAGGTATACTTAATTTTGAAATTATTAATAGTATAAATTTTACTTACGAAGTATCATTAAATGTGTAATATTTCGGTTTTAGTGGGCCCAGCCAACGTTCAATTTCATCCGCCCAATTCATGACCGTACTTTTGGGGCATAACACAAGAACTTTACAAGTTTTTAATTCCTTATAAGAAATAACTGTGTGGAGAAGAGCAATGAGCTGGGGATAGGAAATATAATACAGATTAAATTTCATTAAAATAATAAGCCTTATCACGAATTCCGTGTGAACAAATATGTATTCCCAAGAATTATAAAACAAGCAATTTTTCTCAATTTATGGGAACAATTTATTCGCATTGAATTGGCGATAAGGCTGAGTATTTATTTCTACTTATAATGTAGCAAATGTGCTCATGCTAACTTAAAATTAAATCAAAATAATTTCTTTATGGGTGGATTACCGATAGCAACCGAACCTCAGTTGCGTTGCTAGTTGCCAAAACGATATTACAGATGGCAACTGGCAACTTTCAACTGACAACTGCAGTTGCTACAAAGTGTCTATACAGGCGACTGCATTTTTGTGGTTGCGGGGAATGTTCAGAACTTGGTCAGAACCAAACTGCGCTTCCATTTGAAATAAGGTAACTATAGAGTGTGCATATTTTGAATTCCTAGATTTTTCTAATATCTTTGTCAGAGTGCACAATTTAAACATGTTAACGATTGAAAACTGTTTTCGTTTCAGGTACAGAGGAAAGAAATCTCCAGATGCAATACTCGTTGAAATTTGTTGGTGGTATAAAAACACCTTTGAAGAAGAGGAAGACGAGGAAAAAGAGGAAGACAAAGATGAAATTCCAGAATATCTGTTGGACGCAATTATCGACCTTTCTGATGATGATCACGATGACCAAGATATTAGAGAGAGCAGTGATGTTGATCCACAGCCGCCTGCTAAACGGCAACTGGCCAAATCATTAATTTAATTAATTTAATTTTTTTACTTAAAACTTTTCATAACTAACATTTCAAAATTATGTTTTTTTCCATATTTTTATAATTTCTTTTTCAATGTTTCTTCAAAACCAACACTGAAAAAATTGGTACATAAGAAATGAGAAGTAAATTAATATTAAGCTGGAAAACGCAAGTTTTGTATTATGATTGTTTTCTTTTCAAATGAAATTTATTGAAGAAACTGAGAAGCATATTATAGATCAAACAGAAAGCAAAAAATACTTAGTTTTGTGGAAAATATGTTCAAAAAGCATGAAAAAAATTCCAACATTTTGCTTCATAAGCACTACAAAAATTTTCTAAATCATTTTTTTTTTATTGTAATTGTTGCACAGGTCTCTAGCAATAATTTGGCTTTAACAGATATCAATTAGTCGACGAGTTATAGCCAGAAAACCATATAATCAATATGCTGAAAATCGGCATTTGACTGAAAAGTTCGTAGGTCGATTAAAAAAAAAATCGAACTAACATAAACAAACGCCGCGATAAGGGTCTTCTAATTTAGCCTATATTTTCACCCCTCACTCTCAGAATCGACCTAACTTTTGCTAACCTGAAGTTGTTCCACAGTGTTATACTACAGCTTCTTTTGGAAATCCTCAGTATGCTTTGAAAACGAACACAAAACGATATTAAAAGAAAAACCTTGAAAGCATTAACTTTTGCTAACAGTGCACGCGGTAGCTCTGAAGGATTGGAATTATCCTTTAAATGTCGCCTGATTGAGGCCGCGTTCATGCACTTATCTTCCTCTTAAACAAATAATTGTGATGAACTTATTGCTGTCTTTTCTTTAAAACTCTTTATTTTAATAATTAAATTTTACTCGCACAGCTTGTTTACAGCCGCATGCTGGTTGTGGAACTGTCAAATTTCGATTATCGATAGCACTACAGCAACTGACGATAGTTGCCATTCGTAATACAAATTTTCTTTCCAGTTGCGTTGCCAGCTGGCAACCGAACTGTGGTTTCGTTGCTATCCGTAATCGACCCATTAGTTTAAATTTAATTGAGTTTTAGTATTTTCAAATTCCACACAAATTCAATTGCAGGGCTGTATTTTGAAAATTACCTGTAGTGTTTTTCCAAGACCCATGCAATGCGCTAAAATACAACCAGATCCAGAGCTTTTCTTAAGCGCCTCCACACCACCATAACAAGAGTCGTACATAAATTTTACACCATCGCGTTGATGCTGCTTCAAATGTTTAACAATATCCGGATGTACTTTTATAAATGTCTTAGTTTCATCATTGTAATCTAAAATTAAATTGCAATCTTCTTGCATATCGGGTCGCTCTTTTAGTAATTTCGATAGCATTTTATGCTTTCTCTCTAAGCGTCTTATACGTTCAGTCTCGTTTCGTTGTGCTTCACGGGTGACAGTTGCTAGCTGTTCGGGCCGAAGCATTGGTTTGATGCGTGATTTAGATTCCTCTACTGGCTCAACATCTGAGGACTCGCTTTCCGAGCTAAGACTTATTGAGTCACAAAGTCTATTCATTTTCTTTCGTTTTTCAACCACTGAAAGCATTTTCTCCAAAGACTTTTGTTTACTGTGTTTTGTTGAAGACATCATGTCATCGAGTACTTCACAATCTGAATTTTCTGACGAATTTGATTTAATCTTTTCTATTGAACTATTTCTTTCCATTGAACTACGTTTAGAATCAGCTGCCTCTTGCCCGGCCGAAGATTTTGTGTTCAACTTATCACATTTCTCTATTTCCTCATCGCTTTCGTTGGCATTGAATCTTTTCAGAAATCTTTCTACCAAAGGTGAACTACTCCCTTCATTGCTGGATAAAATTTCCTCTATATCATCACTACCATCAGATTCAGAAAATTCGCTATTCGAATCGCTCAGCAATTGCTGCTTCATGTTTTCGTTGCAACGCTTCAGAAACTGCGTCTCTGTAATGATCTCTTCTTCACTCTGCAAAAAACGATATATATATATATTAATATAAGGTATGCACTACGGTGCAGTGGTTAGCAGTGCGCGTTACCATTCCGTAGGGCCGGATTGAAGCCCAGTTTCCGACCAACATCAACAAATAAAAAAAAACTAAAAGTATTTTCTAATAGCGGTCATCCCTCTGCAAGCAATGGCAAACCTCCGCGTGTATTTAGCCATAAAAACAGCTTCGCATAAAAATGCAATTGGAGTTGGCGTAAAACTGTAGTTCCCTCCCCTTTGTGTGACAACGTCGGAGGAGAAGCACTAACATATTATGTAAGCGCTAATCTATTATACATATTATAACTATGCACTGTGCGCTCAACTCTTCACAACACTTCTTCTAAGTCTAACTTTCTCAAAATGTTAGAAAGAGCTTTCGGCGGTAGCACATGAATGTACTCATACTCTGGCTACATTAAGCCTAGACTTCTCTTTCGTCAGTCCATATAATCCGATCTCGACAGAGCTAAGTAAGCCGCTACAACAACAATAACGAGAATAATCGCTTGGATGTTGAATTAACTTCATGATATATCTAAGAATAAGCACTTTCCCTGACGCCGCCCTAGCGAGCTTCGTCTTGGGAACTAGTGCCAGGAAAGGCGTACAGCCAATTAAAGTGTTAGCTGCAGCCTCTCTCGCAAGACTGTCCGCTATTTCACTTCCTCTGTACCGTATGGCCTTATAAAATTGTATTTAACAATTTTTATCGAGCTTGAGGGCGTTTTTAATGAAAAACTATTGTGGTAAAGCAACAATAATTTGAAAAAATTGTAGAAGGGATAGCTATTTCGAAAATCACCACATTTCCTCATCAGGCTTCTTTCAGTGGGTTTCGATCCAACGACCCCAACTGACTTAGCCAGTTCCCTATGCACTGTGCTAGGTTCGCCTTAATTATTGTTGCTTTTTCCACTTTTTCATTTGTTAAGCCAACTACAACCAGCGCAGCTATTCCAGCGCTATTTAAACTTGATCATGTGGTTTTTGGTTTTGTTGGTTTTTGTTAATAATTATATTTTTAGAATGTTTAACTTTTAGGATGTCCTCGTCCTTAAGTTATTTGTTTTTGTTATTTATGGCCTTATAACAATTATATTCAACAATTTTTGAGGCCGTTTTTAATGAAAAACTATTGTGGCAACTTTCTGAGTCCGCTAGGGTCGTTGGATCGAATCCAACTGAAAGAATTCTGATGAGGAAATGTGGTGATTTCCGAAATAGCTATCACTTCTACCAAATTTTCAAATTATTGTTGCTTTTCCACAATAGTTTGTCATTAAAAACGGTCTCAAGCTCAATAAAAAATTGTTGAATACAAATGTATATCAGAAAAGGATCAGTCCAGCACCTTTGTCTTGACCTGCAGGCTGTGTCGGGGTCACAGCGGCTAAACTTAAACGTAGAATACGTGATATTTTTGAGATCATATTCAAGTTAAAAACGGTACACGAAATATTCGTTTTGATTGTATTGAATTGAATTTAATAAATCAATATGAAATGCAAAATATTAATACCAAAAGGAAGCCGGTCCACATGAATTTCAATCATATGTCCCATCAGCTTATAAATAGATATATGCCATGACATGTATCATTATTTCCATTCGTTTTTATTTCCTTTCATACTGCAGAAATGTGTATTACTTTTTATATTAGCCTAGGTCCCAGTATTAGTATTATTCTTCCAGTTCATGCTCGTCTTTGCATTATCTTCGTCTTTGGATATGTGCTAAATTAGCTAAGACTTCTGATACAGCTGGCAACTCTCCTCAATATAGATAAGAAATAAACAAATCTCTAGCGTATGATAATGTGATACCTGCAGAAATATTTTGTCGGCCGCTGTGGTGTAGTGGTAAGCAGTGCGCGCTTCCACTCCGCAGCACCAGGGTTCAAACCTTGGTCAAAGCAACATCGCAAAAATATAGAAAAAAGGTTTTTTCTTAACAGCGGTCGTCCCTCGGCAAACAATGGCAAACCTCCGAGTGTATTTCTGCTTCTCATAATAATACAATCGCCGTTCGGAGTCGGCGTAAAACTGCAGGTCCCTCCGCTTTGTGTGACAACATCAAGGCGCACGCCACAAATCGGAGGAGAAGCTCGGCCAAACACTAACATATGTGTAAGCGCCAATCTATTATTATTATTACAGAAATATTTCATGTGCCTGATGAATTAAGTTAAATTTGATTTTTTAAATACGTGACAACGCTCCAAAATACAGTTCAGAAATAATAATTGCTTTAACTTATTAAATAATTTGAGTTTACTTTTTTACCAGGTGGCAACCCTCTTTAATAATCTTAATATTTAAACTAAGGATATCTTACAACCTTCGTTTCACGTAAAATTTTAATATTTCATTTAACTCATGCATACTTTATTTAAATTCTAATTTTGAAACAGGTGGCACCATATTCAAAATATTTTCAAACCACAACCCCTTTCGTCTGGCATCCATATCAAGATAACCATTTCAATTTTCGGCCTTTATTTAAGTCGAACTTGCTTTTTGAAACAGGTGGCAATTCTCCTACATATGTGTAATTAAGAAATAAAGCCGTTTCAAAACCATTTCGATCGATACTCATGGTGTAATAATTTATTTAACTTGAAAATAATTTGAGTTTCATGTTTTTATAAGGTGGCAACTCTTTTTGAAAAATAAGAAGCTATTGCACATCTACAGCCCAAGCCCTTTAATTTGATACCTAATTTTGTAAAATCGAACTAATATTACAGATCTGATGATATGACAAAAGGCTTTCGCGTATTATTAAAGAACGTAGATAACAAGAAGGGACAACTCGTTACAATTGTAGCGAAAGTGAGCAACAGAGGTGTGCCTTCTCTTTTGCCTTGGTACGCTTTTTGATTGGATGTGTGTATTGGATATATGTATGTACATATGTATATGCCCTCCAGTACTGCTGGAGTCAATCGCTACTTTTGAACCGCTACTGCACCGACTCCTAGGTAAGTAGCTACACTATTAACCCGTGGTAGTGCACATGGTAGTGCAGAGTCGAACCAGTCGTAAGTAGAATAGCGAAAAACTACGACAGAGGGCGCCCATAAATCACGCAAGTGACTACTTTAGTAACTCCCGGTAGTGCAGAGAGAGCCGATGGTGACTACCGCCTAGGACATTGCCTTGTAAAAGTAATCGATGAAATACACTGCAAGTAGTCGGTCGGTAATTGACGGTGTTTATCAGGTAGCTACCGATTCAGCAGTCCTGTAGTCACTTCTCCGTACTGCAGGGTAGTCACATACCCACACTCCCAGTACCTACAACACACACTTCTTTACTCATTCTCTCTTTACCTCTCCGACTTATCTTCCCACATCTCTTCTTCACCTTTCTTAATTTGCTTAATTACTAACTGATCTTTTCTTTTATGACTTTCTCTAAACTAATCCCTTTCTCTTTGTTACAATGCAACAACAACAATTCACATTTTGACTCTCACTATTAGTTTATTAAGCTCATAATTGCTAACTTAGTTGTAAGAATTGTGTAACCTTTGAATTGATTAATGAAGATACCTTCGAGAAGCAAGGACTTGTTATTGGCGCAGTCGGACGCGATCTCAATACGCAAGTTCGAAAAACAAACACAAATATAAGTAAAAAGTTTTATTTTTTGCTAAATATTTGGAAATTTTAAATAAATTTTATTTGTAGCACGAAGGGAGTTGACAAAAGGTTTTTTTTTCAAGAAAAAGTTGAAATTGTGAACATTAAAAAAAAAATACTGAACCCCAAATAAAGGAAAAAAACTCCAACATGCAAATGTGAAGAAGGTTAATGACTAAGTTTGAAAAAAGGCAAAATAGAGTGAAAAATATGCCAAAAAAAGTCATATACATATATGTACGTAAACTTTGAACTTGCGAAAAAAAGAAAAAAACAAAAAAAACTCTAAGTCGGAGGTCACCTTCGAAACAATTAAATTAATTAAAGTCATATATACATACATACATATAAGCGGTACCTAAAACCAAAAAAAAAAAAATACAACTGCTTCTACTCCAAACAATCAAAACAGCTAGCCTTGAGGAGAAATCAAGTGAAGGAGAAATATCACGACATTCATACAAAAACAACCACATGAAGGCACCTTTTGTTATAATGTGTTAAATGTGTAAAATGTGTAAAGGATTATTTTTTTGATATAATGTGGTGTAATGTGGAACGATTTTCCGTCATCCCTTGTCAAATTTGTTTGGAGACAAACCGGTTTCGGCGTTGTGCCATCTTCAGTGTCATTTTTCGTTCTCAATAAGAAAGCAAACCTAAATATTTTGTATTTTATCACTGCCACCTTAAATATTGAATTTTAATAATTGAAATTGAAAGCCATAGACAGAAACGAAATTTTGAACTTGACAGTTCACGGTTTAAAAGAGAAACTGGGTGAGTTACGGCTATCGACAAGCGAACGGAAAGCGACGCACAATGGGGCCGCTACATACAAGTTGGTGCTCAAAAGTCTGTAACTGGATTTTCCCCTGAAAACTACGAAGACACATCCAAAACGGAAATATAATATTATTTCATTATTTTGTGTACTAACACTGTTTTTTCTTTTTCTTATTAAATTGAAAAATATGTAGAGAAAAATAATAAACCCAGATCATCCACTATTTCCAATAAGTCACTTCGTGTTCTAAACACTGAAAAACTAATTCATTGTACATTGAGAATTGTAATTATGGTAACGGGCCATAAAGATTACTTAAAATAGAAACAATAAGAAAACGGTACAAGGCACGATACAAATTTTATTCGTTTATATAATCATCAGATTCAGGTTGTGTATATTCAAAATTCTCTTCTAAAAGCATGTCTTTTACTTCTGGATCAAATGATTTTCTTTTTACTGTTTGTGAATGTCTTAAACTCGTAATATGAGGATCAGAAGAATAAAGTAGACGATGAAATACATCTTCAAGGTTAGCTTTCC